GTCTCTATTGCAGGGCAATGGCTCTTCGAACGTACTTCCATTTTTTTGGGTAGAGAATAAATCATCCACTTGTCTCCTGCTAAATCCATATCTATTCTGTAAGATTCGTTTAGTTATCTCTCTGATAATCTCTTCTTCCAAATCTTTAGGGTGTGAAGCTATAGCTATTTTGCAACTACCCTTGATGTTATTTATAATCTTAACCTTACTACTTCTCTAATTAGGTATTAATATACTTACCTGATCACTGCTAAATTTAAAACCATCTCAAAGACGTCGTTGACCTTGATTCCGCTTTCTATCATCAGTAAGGTTTTCAAGAAATTCTGGGGTATATTTACTGAGATCAGACACACTCATCTTGGGGCTAAGATTGTATTTTTTAACGATTTTAGTCACGATAGCTAATATGATCTAATGTTATAGTAGGTCGAGTAGGTTATGAACAGTTCTTTAGGTTATATACACCATAAAAATATTTTTTCAAATTGAAATTAATTATCTGTGGATAGCTATATCCAAAAATTGAATGGGTCATGATTATTGTAATTCTATCAGAAAATAGATGCGAACAAGACATGAGTTTGATCAAAAGGTTTAATTTATATATGCCAGGTATATAATATACACAATGCTTTGGATCAAATCTGTAGATTTGAAAGTTACCAATATATAGAATATAACGAAAAAAAAATTATAGCTTCGAGTTGTGGCGACTCAGGCTATATTGCATATCAAGTTACTAGATAACATGTTTTATTTTTTGTTATCTTTGATAACTGCTTTGCTAATATATTCCTTGAATGGTGATGGAGTAATCAAGAGTCCTTCTTCTTTTCAAAGCATATATCTATCATGTATCAATTTATTATATGTTGGTTATTAATTGTAATCATACGATTTGTTTTGGGGTTATAGATTTTTGGCTTTCTCCAACGATTAGTCAATTTTGATAATTGCTCAGCAGTAATCGTTTCTTTGTTGTATTCCAGCTCTTTAGTATATAATTTATACATTGTTTTAGTGTAGTATATAGTATCAATATATGTTCGATTATAATATTACAAAATAATTTGGAAAAGTTTAAATTGATTTTTATATACTATACATGAAAATGTAAATAAAAAATATGTTAGTATTTATACAGAGTTTTATAGAATATGAGAGGTTATAAGCAATATTTTTAATAGTATCTCCAACACATAATATATTATTATAACCTAAAAAGATTTAAATTGGTTTTATATTAAATATATTTGCATAAAAAGTGAAACGGGTTTTATACGTTATACATTAAAACACTTTGAATGGGGTGCTCAACCAATCAATACGTTAAAAAAGATAGTTTGGGGCATTCAACCTGTTTATATATTAAAAGAGATGGTTCGATTTGTGGAAAAGATTGTTGGCGGGACATAGTGTGTTCATTGCACTGGAAATTATATGATACAAATATAGTAAAATTTCCTTGTAGGATCTGTAGAAAACTAACAATTTCTGGGATGGGGTATTGTTCTAAGCACACAAAGAGGGTTTATTTTTGAAATTGGTATGAGAAAAAAAGGCGCAGAGAATAGAAGCTGATGCATAATTATACTCACTTTTGCCGAAAGTAGACACTATAACTATAGATATCAATTTTAAGCATCACAAAAATGGTCTTCGTAATGGATTTTTTTACAAGTATCAATTTTAAGCATTACAAAAACCCCTTTGTAAAATATGTCACAGACCATTACTAAATAGATATATATATTAACAGATATTAAATAGGTTCTGAGTATCCTGTGGGATAGAATTGGGAGAAGTTTCTATTTAATTGGGCGAGAGTTTACTATACCCATATCGCCAATCTTCTCCATTATCCCAATCCTCACCCGTCTGGTATAGTGGCAACTCGGGTGTATATGCATAGGCATATATACTATCAAATGCTCCAACTAGATGATAATGTGTATGCTTGTTATTTGTACCTTTGAGCTTCAAACCGTAAGTTGCATAAAGTGCTGAATTTAATAAACCAAGTTTTGCTCTAAGAGTTTTTAATCCAGATTTTTTGGCGCGTCGGAATGCATCTGTATTATCAAAAACCCGAGCCATTTTAGGAACTAATTCTTGGAGATATTTTATAGATTCAGGTGATTCTAACTGTGTTTTAACAATATCAGTTTTATATTTATTTCTATCATCGATATCTTTAACGGGTGTACAAATTTTTAATAATCCAAGACAAATTCGATGTTTTTCAGCTCTAGTAACAGTTGCGAGCCTATCATTTCTATAATCTTCATGGGTAATTGCCTCAACTGCTGTCTCATTATTAGTGTCTGCATCTCATAATTTCTGGAGAGCTCTAAACCAGAGCATATGATTATAATTTTCAAACTCTAAGATAAATTCTTCAGTCAAAGACTCAGGTGCTATATTATAGCAATTTACAATATAGTGCCGGTCTAATACTCGCATTTCGTCTAAAGTTTTCTTTGGTTTATTTTCTAGATGCTTAGCTATTTCACGGTTATTAATATTTGCATTTGCAAGGTCTGAAATTTCCTCTGCTTTAATAACCGAAGAACATTCATTTACTGTTTCAGTTAATAATACAGTATTATCTTCAGGTTTGGGAGTTGGTTCTATTACTAAAACTACTATACCTGCCTTTCAGAGTAAATCAACCATTCTCCAACCAAATAGACATTGAGAGCAGAATTTTTCCAATATATATACCACCCATAATCGGATAGTTGAGATATCTTTATTTCGAATAATAGTATCTATATTTGGAAATATTCCTCTATTCTGAAGCTCTTGAGGAATACATCTGCATTTTGCTTCTGTTAACCATTGAAACAACCCCTCTTCTGTAGTTGGGGCTTTAGATGCCCTTTGTTGAATATAATATATATAATCTTTAATGCATCGCATGCGGAATAACATTTGATTTGTTCCAGCATTTGTTTCTATATAACTACTGAAGATACAGAATGTTCGCTCAAACTTAGGATTGATGCAAGAAACCTCTATCTTTAATGTACTGGTATATGCAATGAGATCAATATTTTTCCATGCATTATCTACATCTCTAAAATCTCAAGTTTTCTCTATTGGATCTGACTTACTATAATACTCTTTTATACGCAATTCCGGGAAATCAGCTCTAAGAGCCCGAACAATACCCTGAATATTTTTCCTCTTATAACAGATAAGAGACGCACTTTTTCACTTCTCATAAGATAATGATGTCATTTGCTTGGCCCATCCCCAGAGTTATATCAATACAGTTCTTTATCAGAAGCTAGACGGAATGTTTTACCTTTTTGGAGCTGGTATGTGTTGTGGATAACTGAATATTTCCTATTTGGTCGAAGTCCTTTAATCCATTCAATATTAAGATCAGTGAGATCATTATCTAGTACAATAACTCTTTCTGCCTGAGTAATTAATTCTGAGAAATTGGCAAAAGATATAGACAAACCACTTAAACAAGTTTGTGTTTGTGAGATAATTGATACAATCTCATCTAATACTAGAATGTAAGGATTTGTAGGACATTTATGCGAAGCATGATTTAAAGACCTACATTTTTTATCACATTTACATTTATTAGTAATGCGATGTAAACTTTCCACCTGACATACTACCCTTTGATGCTCTCTCAGATTTATAGGTCCATCGATATCACAATATGATTTGAGATTGAGCCTGGTAGTAATAGCATCTGAATATGTGTGTCGAGTCGATGCTACGAGTAAGCTTGTATTTTCTGGAATATTTAAATTTTCTATAGCATACGTTTTTCCCGTTTCCCAACGCGAACCTATATAAATATCATTTTCTTTAGATAAAGGTTTCACATATCTTTCTTCATATCTTTCTGATGCGGTAAGGGGTTTATTGTATTTAACCCAACCCGGCATTTCTAAGAAGGGTTTTGGGAACTTAGGGCCCTTTATTTTATGAGAAATAGGTGGAGGAACATTATTTTTATTTTTTTGCTGAATTTTTTCTGCGATAGATGGGTCATTGAAAATTTTCCCTGATTTGTCATGATTTTGCTGGAAGCATTTCACAATGAACGAACTATTATAACGCGCGTGACCGAACCACCGCTAATCCTTGTCATGTATGCATTCACAAATCGGACATTCTAGATATGCTTTCTGATTAAAGTATACAAAATACTAAGAATTTTTTTCTTCGATATCCCACCCTCCAAGATAATCAGAATATTCTTGCAGACTAGATTAGCATATTTTTTTAGAGAATCTTGACCAACGATTATTTTTTTCTGATTTATTTTCTCTATACTAAGTATGCGAGGGCGTACTTCTAAATTCATATTAATTGGTGGTTGAACTCGGCTGTCATTGAGATTGCACCACC